ATCTAGAAATCACTTTATTGATCCAGATCATGTGTGTCGAATGAGTTTTAAATCAGTGTGAGTAGGTTCTTATATTGATTTCTTTTATTTTGATCAGGATTTCTGTCTAAAATGTAGACAAACATTTGGAGATATTACAAACATGTTGTCGCGTTTGTGCCAAAAAGCTGGGAAAAGGAACCAGGAAGACAAAATGCTAAATATCTTCAGAACGACGTATTTGCGCTCTGAGGGCAAAATATTTCTTTAGGTTCGCCTTATGTTCCACTGTAATGAAAAATTTAATGTCCAAATTCAACCCTACCTCAATAAAATTAAACATGTTTTTTTTGTTTCTTTGTAGTGTGGTCACAGGCTTACCCGCCACAGCCCCTCCTTTGACCCTTTCAAAAATGGGTGAGAGGGAAACAGGTTGGAGGGGGGGCTTATATACCTCGTGTGTGGAAGCTCACACTCAATGACCATTCAACCATAGAAGAGACTGTGGCCCTTATTCAAGGGGCTTTAAAGGAGATAGATGAGGAAGGAGTCATGGAAGTGGAGGCTTGTGAAGATTTTCTCTACATAATGTTCGATCCCTCGCGTCATATATTGTTTATACTTTACAGATGCCAAATACATAATATGTTCAGTCCCTGTGATATGCAAAAGGTCAATCTGAAACATGAAAAATGCCACACTCTCCCCCATCAATCCCTGTGCATGAGCAATAAGCCCACATTTGATGTCATAATATGGAATATGTGTGTATTTGAATAAATCCTAAATTATTGAGATTCCCTAGATGAAAAAACATTTATGTTAATGAATCGTCTTCAACAAATCATCCTCCCTAATAAATAATACATGAGAGACATCTCACAAGATAACTATTGAAAATCGATGTCAGCTGCTACTGTCTTCATTATATTAATTAAGTTTTGGTTTTTGGTTTTCATGTCCAAGAAGGTGTTTAAAAAAAACAAGATTTTGAGATAAAAGAGTGTGTATAATATGCGAGCCAGCGAGTCATGCAGGTCAGATACGACTCATTGAAAATGATACATAAAAATCAAAAACAGTAATACGGAAAGAATTAACTGTCAGGACCTAAAATAAAATGTTTATTTACAAAAAACAAAATGTAACAATAAATAACTTTTATTGTATCTTTACTCTGATATGTGAGCTTTGTTTTCTTGAAAGTGCTGTTCAATAGAAACATGAAGAACCAGCTATGAAAAAGAACTTTGGAAAAGTTATGTTGTTCCATGCCAAGTGCAGTAATCATTATTCTATTATTATAGAATTGTTTGAGGGTCCCCACAGAGAAGACTTGGAGAAAAGTGCTCCTCAAAGTTACAATGCCTTTGGTTTAAAGGCAACCCCAGAGTTAAAAACAATAATTTAGTATTATTCGGATGTAACATCAAATCCCATACAAGAGGATATTTTATAACAAACCATAACCTTGTTGATCTCTGACCTCTGGTCAAATCCGGTGGACTACAAGACTATAGTATCCCATTTTAATCAATAGATCCAAAAGCATGTAACAAGCATAATTCTTAGTTTTCCAATATGTATATTAAATTCTAAAGAGCCTCTTGCATTTGTTAAGCTTGACCAAATAATCAGTGAACTTCAGAAAGTGGAATAATTGAAAGCAATAGGTTTTTTTGAAGCGGGACAAAAAAATGATCAGGGATGGTAAGTAAGATTTTCACTTTGTGGGTTTTCAAGAAGAAAACGCGGGCACAATACCCTCAGAAATCCCTTGTAAACCTGTTGTATACCTGGACGGAACAGCTTCAAGACATAAACCAACAGAACATCATATTCAAAAAACAGATATTTTACTCACAAATGACTCGCTTGCACCAAAACAATAACCTGAATTACAGCCGTCTTCCCCGGCCAGTCGCTCACTCGCGGGAAAGAAACAGAAGCAACGGGAAAAATTCCATTAACACTTACTGTGAAAGCAAACATAAGGAAATGAATTATAGAACAACTCACTTTTTAGTTGTTTCCAAAGCATTCTTTTTTCCTTATGATATAAAAAAATAATGAAATAAATAGGCACAAACTTGTTAGCGTGCTTACCTATTTTCGATGTACTGATTACATACGCAGTGAGTACGCAGTGCCTACTAAGCGCCCGATAAGCGAAGAACTATAGCGCAATAATGGTTACTCCCTGTCCTCAAGGTACTTCCCAATTCATAGTAATGAAAAGACAAATAAAAGGCTCGATAAAACAAGAATAAACGAGAATTTTGGTCAATACTCTTTCCTCTCCTCTCTCTTGTCCGCCATTTTGTATGTTTTGAAAATGACCATCGCGTGTGGTTGGTGACGTAGACCATTGTTGAGGGCCTCCCAGGGGTTTTAGGGAACAACGGAACATCGCCATTTACTTTTAGGGAACAGGGGATATTTCAAAATAACTTTTAGGGAACAAGGGAACTGTTGAGGGATATTCGGGAACAAGGGAACATTGACTTTCGACCATTTTCTAACTTTTGGAGAGATTTCCACTAACTGTTTATGAAGACATTTCCGACGTTTCTGTAATTTCACGCATTTCCGACGACTAAGCCTGGCGACTAATCTTCACAAGTAAACTGGTGACGACTGGGGACGAGTTTAGAACGCGTGGGAACCTGGGTTGAGTGCTAGATTTAACATAAAGACCATTTTGACCCTGGTTGTGGAAAACACGTTTTCTGAGATGAGAACGGGTGCCAGTGACATGCCGTTGCAGCTTGAATTTGACTACAGGTTCAGTAGAGCGATCAAAGAACGCTTAAAAAGACAGTGCTCTACACCATATTCATACTTTACTAGCTCTAGTTCATACTACCCACACACCTTTATATCTGCAAGCTACTCTGACCTTCCGAAATTACGTCCCCCAAAGACAAACAAGCTAACTAGTCAACAAGTTCGCGAGATGAGGAATTGGAGAGCTGTCCACGGTCAGAGTTTTCCCCAAAAAACGGTGCGCAATATGACGACCAAAGACAACCCAGGAACTCCCCCCATTAATCTATATGCGGTGGGCCCACCAGATGTCCAGCCACTTGATTTAACCAAATTAGGAGACCACCATTCAGTGCAACAAATGCCACAGAAAGAAGTGACAGAGTTTCTGTACACGTCTAATCAGACAGTCTGTGTTAAGCATGACAAAGGGTGCCCTGAAAACACCTTGGTTCTCGCCTGCCTACAGGAGAATGTTAAAGTTGGCATAAAAAAAGTGATGGCCAAAATTTTTGTTCAAGATCCTTTTAACCCAATATGCTTTTCGGAAAATTCAGAGAAATACATTGAGGTAGATAGCATTATTTGTATCTTGACGACCTACAAACATAATCAAGATGTTTTGGAACTTAAGGAGGAAGAGCTGATCCTACTTCAGGATGAAATTTAACAGACAAGTGATGTCCTCACTCTTACAGAGGCGACAGAAATTTCTGCTGATGAACCAGAGGTGATGTGGCATTCATCAAGGAGACGAAAGAGGCGTTTTGCTGAGGATTATCTCTACTATGACTAACGAGGTAAAACTTACGAAAATACTGACCATCGAAAACTGAAATATGATTGAAATTCTGGGGAACATTAATTAATATTTCTGGGGATCAAGGGAACATGCAACAGAATTTCTGGGAACAGGGGAACTTGATGAAAGGGAATTTCAGGGAACATCTTAATTTATTTTTTGGGGAACAAGGGAAAAACTCAAATTTTTTCTAGGGAACAAGGGAACATGTACCCCCCCCTGGGAGGCCCTCATTGTTTTCGCTTCTTCCAAAACTGGCATACTCCCGAACTGTTCATCCTTCGCCGCTCACAAAGTTTTGCCAACTGACCACCATGAAAATCCTGTTATAGCCCTGTTGCGAAACAGTTTCTCGCAAAACAAAAATGACTGGTACAGTTACGTACACTTCAAAAAGCGACAGCGACATTTGCAGCTGTAGATTAGGCGACAACGGTCTCCTAAAGCAAGCGACATTGCGACACAGCTACCCCCCTTGGAAGGCCTCACTAGCATGAAACCTTTGTCGGCAGGCTCCACTCCGACCCACCCCCGTCTACGACAACAGCACTGACGTCGTACTATACCGTGAAGGACTGGGGAGAAGCCCGTAGATCATAGCGGAAGGACCGGAAGGATCTTGCTTTCGTTATTTACAGATTACCAGGTTACGGGAAAAGTCCCAGAAATGCGATCATTCTCTTTCAGTTCTGTAAACAAACATCGACCTCACTTTCAGTTCTCCCTGCTGCCAGCGAGATCGTGCACCCAAGTTGTTTGCAACAGTCATATTCCTTCTTGTTTCTGAAGGGTAAGTGAGGCACTCAGACATTGGGGTTTACCTGTGACTTTTTTCTTTGTTTTTGAGCTATTGTTTCTGTGTTCTGTATTCTTTCGAGGTTCGTTGTTGTCTTTGTTTTACGTCACTCGTGAGTTTAACACCGAGGATGAGCTAGACATTGCCTGTGTTTGTGGTACCTTGCAGTTTTACAATCTGCAAGTTGTGGCCTGGTTTTGGTCGTTTATGTTTTGGTTCTCAAGCTCTGCTGACTATTTGAGACTCGATCACACCGGAAGACAATACACTGACGTTATAAAACTGTATCATATATTTATAATATTATACAGTCCTTTAATATTAGTATAGGTATTATATCATACGGTTTTTCTCATTCAATTTGGAATTCATTTGCACGAGTGAGTTTTTCAAAAAGCTGAAATTGCACAAGCCGCTTCGACCACTTGTTAATAATGCTAATAATATACATGAAAAAATACTCGATTCTGATTGGCTGAGAGCAGTGCAGTTCAAGTGTGAATTTCCAATCCCTTCTGTGGGGGGAGTATGGATATTTTCTGGAACTACACAATTTAAATCTCCTGACATTTTTAAAAGGTCTAAATATGGAATTCAGGCCCGTGCAAAACCTATATATTATTAATACTTTATAAATACAGTTGCCACTGGATGGTCAAGCCCTAAATCAACTCCTGGGTCAACTTGAAGTGAATGCAATGAAGATCGTCTGCCTTAAATCCTTTACCATCTTGGTGGTGATCTCGTTGATGATCAACCTCAGCAATACACCAACTGTTAAGGCTGGCCCACTATCTGCAGCAGGTTGCATTTTGGGTTGCATTTCCTGTGCTTGCTCGGCTGCTAAAGAGTTATGTAAGTTCTCACTTATATATTTGTTTAATAATTTTAGTGACGTCCATTCACGCAGTCAGTTACAAACAATTTGTAATAATATTTCAATAAGATTCCCCTGCCCCTTCCCCCGAAAAGGTTGAATTCCCACACTAGCTTAATCTTTTCTCACTTACTATTAATAGACCTTTTGCATGCCGCGCGGGGACTGGTCACTGGAGGTATATGTCCGCCATATTGGATAGCACAAAAAAATCATTGTTTCCTTTGTTCTTGATCGGCTGCCAGGAATGTCAGCCAATAGTGAAGAGGTTTGCAAAACATTAACCAAAAAGCGCCTGGAGGAGTTTATCAAGGAGAAAAAATCAGATCAGAGGGCTCAGGCATTTTTTGTAGAAGATTATGTTCACGATCTTTTCGTCACATTTCAAGAAGCTGAATGTTGTGTATTGAAAGGAAAATGTTTTCGATCGATGTCTAAGTCGGAGAAGCCACACGAAATAAGAAAATTATCTTGGAATTTAGCGATTCAGGATCGAGCATTGTCTTTAGAAGATGTTCTTGCAAAGCCGGACAAGGACATTGTCATCATCTCTCGGCTTTAGCCTACGCAGTGGTAAGTTCTTTGAAAGAGAGTGATGTTGCTTCTGCTTGTACTTCAAAGCCCCAGCAATGGCATGTTCCAAGAGGTGCTAAAATAAACCCGCAACCCTGGATGCAGCTAAATTTTTCGAAACCATCGGTGGGAAAGGAGACAAGAAGAGATGCATCGCTCTGCCTTTACGATCCAACTTCTCCAAAGAGAAAGGAGCCAGAGTGTAGGAAAGAAATGTTTAAAGAGTTTCAAGATAAATTTAAAAAGGCATGCCCTGCTGCACCAGTTATCCATGTAAAAAACGACAGCTCAACCTCTGTTAAAACAAATTTCGGTGAACACCAAAAGGGTAGTCCTCTTAGTTATCACTTACCTTCAATTGATAGTATTGGAGCTGATCAAACAAACATCTACAGTGAGTTACCAATTCAACTCCCTGTGCTCAGTGATGGCTGGAGTGAATATGTACATGGATTTCAAAATATAGATCTTACTTTCATTACCTTGTCACTAGAAGATGCATCAAAACTTGAATCTGGCACGAGAGAGCAGTCTGGAAGCGCAAAGTGGAAATTAGAGAGAGCCAAGCGCATCACGGCATCTCAGTTTGGTCAGGTTTTCAAAAGAAAGGCGGCTGTCACAGAAAAGTTTCTGAAGGAACTTTTTGAAGGAAAAACAATCCAAACACCAGCTATGAAATATGGTTTGACTAACGAGATTAGGGCTGCAAAAGCATATCTTGACTCTGGAAATAATACAAAACTCTACAAGAGTGGACTGGTGGTTAACCCAGCATTCTGTTGGTTGGGGGCCTCCCCAGATGGTGTTGTCTATGACCCTTCTATGGAAGAAAATCCCTTTGGGCTGTTTGAAGCAAAATGTCCATTTTGTGGTGCGGGTAAGAAAATTGTTGACGTTATTAAAGAAAATAAGCAATTTTACTTAAAACAAACAGACCATGGCATTAAATTAAAAGAAAATCACAACTACTATTATCAAGTCCAAGGCCTCATGGGGGTGACTGGGATGAAATGGTGCGACTTTTGTGTTTGGACTGGTGTAGATTTCTTTCAACAAAGAATTCTGTTTGATGAAACTTTGTGGAATGATGTGCTATCCAAATTAACCAATTTCTATTTTGAAAATTTTTACGAGTTTCTTACAAGAAGAGGGTGCTGACTTGTTATCAATTCAAGAAAAGCCACGTGTAGTAGAATAACCTTGTAACAACATACTAAGTCATCGTATTGACAGGGTTATAAAGTAATTTTGTGAGATGTCTGGAAAACCAGTTTTGCCCCTCTGGGCTGTTTGGTCTTTTTCTCAGTGACTCTGTATTGACATGTATGTTTAAATTTTACATTGTAAATGGTTTGAACTTATGGTATTTTACATTGAGCAGCAACTAGCTGTTTCTTGGCAGTAGTACACTTCAGGAAAATTTAGTTTTATTTCAGCTGGTTAGTAGATCATTAATGCAATAAAATGGCACCTTCTGAAACCCCTTTTTTGGGTGAATTTTTGTTTACATATTTTGCTTCACTAATATGCTCATTGATCAGAGGCCAGATTTACAAACCTTCCTAATCTAAGATACCTCCTAAATATTGTCTGATAACAAAGTGCTATTATCATTTGACAAAACTTAGGATATCCATTAGCTTAGGAGGCTTTGTGAATTTGGCTTAAGGATATTAAAATCAAATCACTGTACAATAAAGGAGCTTAACATTGTTGGTGATCTCAGAGATTTGATCCTGATATTCCAAATAGTATCGTGGGAGAAATTCTTCTTTTAAAAGTCGAAATTTATAAGCAATGTAAGGCTCATTAATGTTTTCACCACCACAAAATTTTGCAGTTTCTGATGTTTGATATTTCCTTGAATGATGATGTCAGCAAAGTTTCTCTTAGGAGTCTTGTGCAATGATTGGTGTCTGAAAATTGACCAAAAGTGCACAGACTGTCCAGATTTGATTAAGCAAACCAGTCTGATTAATAGCAAATACATTTTGCAGGATTTTGAATGTCTTGATTCTGCTTATTGCCCTCTCAACATGTATTCTCACATTTGCGATTTCCTGAGTCTCTTTTACTTCATCTTCTGTAAACTGACCCTGGTTATTAAGGAAAGGAAGTATATTCAAAGTACACCCAAGAGGCTCAAGGAGGTCATTTATAACAAAACCTCTATCAGCCATTACATTGTCTCCTCTTTCAAGCAATGAGAGAATTCCAGACTGTTTAGTGATTTCCTTGTCTGATATGCCTCCAGTATACAACTGAGATACAAATGTAACACTACCTGAAGGTGCGATACCCAACAGTGCTTTAGCTGTAGTGGTACTTTTATACTGTGAGAAAACTTGAGATTGCCTCAACAAAGAGGAAGGTGTCTGGATCTTGAATTCAGTGGCATCAAGGATCACCCTTGTTGAAGGAAATTTCCTAAAGCTATCGGGCATTGTTTCTTGAATGACATGTTTGGGCAACCAGAAATTGATAGATCCCAACACAAAATAAAGCAAATTGATCCATGATGTAAATACCCTTGAAACTGTGGAACTAGAAATGTTGAATAAGTTAGCAACGTGGTGCAAAGGAAGACCCAAACGTAGTTTCACAAGGGTCAGAAAAAGTTCATCCATCTTTGATAAAGCTCTCTCAGTATAACCTGTACTCTTACTAGACATTTGTGTATTCTCAACACTATTAGACAAGGTCCCATGAACATTTGGGCTCCAGTAACTCATGTCTTCAGCATGACATAAAACATAAGTCATAAATTCTCTGTAGCTGGCTGAATTTTGGAAGCCAGTATAAAAGTGGATATCGTCATCACTACCATCAAATCGTTTAAATGAAAACAACATACTCTCAGAACTTCTTTTCATCGTTAGAAAATTAGACATCAAAACCTGTATTTTATTATCCTTTTCTTGAAGCGTTGTCTCAAGCCGCGAGATATCACGGTCCTTCTCCTGACAGTTCTCGCATGGTTCTTTCGCTCCCACATTTCCAAGCCCAAATGAACTTGTCCTTGACAACCGCTGTTTGACTGGTGTTGCCCAGGAAAATACTGACGGAACTGCATCGTCCTTGAGAACTGTTTTGCCACCAAGTGTTGTTCGATAATCGCTCGCAGTAAAATGAAGAGAACACACTCGAGTGTGCTCCGATACAGTAAATGATTCTCCTTCATCACGACGTATTTTTACCAGCCATGCCTTCTTCATCAACTCACATTTTGGAAAACGATGAAATGACAGTTCTTTTTCCCTCGTTGACTTAGTATGGCAGAGCGGAACACAACAACTGTTTACCATGCTGCACGCACTTTAATCCAAGATGGCGGACATATACCTCCAGTGACCAGTCCCCGCGCGGCATGCAAAAGGTCTGTATTGTTGTCAATAATCGAGGGGACTGGTGTCCTACCTTGATTTTTTACATGTGGTTAGCATTTAGAACGTTCATTCAAATAGTTTCTGCAAAAACTGTGTTGTGGAATTTCTTGTAATTTATAAAATCCTTTTTTAATATAGCTAACTTTCCAGATTTTTCTAATACTGACAAGCAAAATGCAGAATTAAGGGAGCTTTTGAGGTGTTGCCATGGTAACTGCTATGGCGTCATAAAAATTTCTAAAGTATTACCCAATAACATAGTTCTAAATCTATTCATACTTTGCCCGAATGAGCGTAACAACTTTCCTGAAAGCGGAAATCCTTAATCGAACAGTAAGACAACTCTTTCGAGCCTCCGTGCTGTTTTTGTCATTTTGCAAGACAGAAAATTTTCCCCACATCAACTGCACTAAAATTATGGGGTGGACTTCATCATGCTATAAATTATGCCAAAACTTTAGGCTTATGCCTTTTGGGATGGGTCGTGACCCTAAAGACCCCTAGTTTAGTCTAGATTTACCTAAGCCAGGTGAAGGTAAAGATCCCTAAGACCCAAAGACTCGCCCTTATAGTTTAAGTCTGATAATGATCCGACTCTCAGACTCTCACTCATCCTCGGAGACCCAGTGGCGAAAGTTTACAAGAGGTCGCGAGAGTGCCCTTGGGGTGCTACACTGAAATGACCAGGTCCACGAATATGTTTGAATTTTTTACCATATTTTTAAGCTTAAATATCTCGGGAACTACGACAAATATTTGAAAATGGAAAACGACGTTTTTAATCTTACATGAAGTACTGCATGATCCATTAAAATGAAAAACAAGGTGTAAAAAGTTGATTATAGTAGCACTTTAAAAAAATGTCAAATGGTTGTTCCTGCAGGCCTTCCCTTGGGGATACTGGCAGGTCCATGGGGGATCCTAGCTTCTGCAGGTTGTTTCATAGCTGTAGGAGGGGGATGTGGTGCATGTGTCGCTGGTTGCTTGGGTCTAGGAGCAACTCCAACGCCATAAGGCTTGTTCAAAGAAGACACTCTTAGAGAGGATTAGAAATCTTTTCACAGCTTGTAACCTTTAGAAAGCCGTGTAAGCACCTAATTATGTACTGAGTATACCTTGTAAGCGAGAAGCAAATCTAAACAGTTGCTTGAGCGATTTTGAGCTTAAATCAATGCAAGCCTGTAGGACTGCACTTAATTTAACTGACATGCTACACATTCTCTCATTGATTAATAGGTGTGTTTAGATGAGAGTATGTAAACACAGTTGTAACGTTTTAGTTTCGTTTGTATTTTTTAGAACGATTTTATGAAAGCAATAGACGACTATTGTCGTGTTTACATTGCCTCATCTAAACACTTGGGGATTGGGAGAATTTTTGAAAGTTGTGCAAACCCTCAAGTGCGTCTCGAATTCTTCCAAACCCCCTAGTGTTTAGATGAGGCTATGGTAAACACAGAAAATGTCCTCTGTTTCATAAGTATCTCCTAGACAGTTTTTATCAGATCAATAGATTAATTAAGAGGTTACAAAATAAAATAACTAACGTCTTCATGTTTTGAATGTGCTTCTGAATTTAAGGTGTGAATAATCTTATTGAGTTCATTCCTATCACAAACCAATCACTACATTTGATGGGAGGGAGGGGGGGGGGGTTTGTGGGAGAGTTCACTAATGAAAAATATCCAGCTTTCAACAAAACATTTCAAGTAAGTTTGTCAGATTAAACAGCTACTTCTGATCTTTGCAACTGAAGAAAGGGCAAGCCAAGGAATAGTGGAAGGATGGGGTGAATTGCCATACAGCCTGGTTCAGCACTGAGCTAATGTTTTAAAATCTACCCTGAAGCCTTCAGCCTTGTTAGGGACGGACCATTTAATTATTTTTGTGGGGGAAGGCGTAGGCTATTATAAAAAAAGAGAAATTGGAATTCTTGCAAGAGAAAAAATCTCATAAAGAGGGTCATACAGGGGTATTTTCATGATACATGATTCGCTGATTTTACTTTCCGTGAAACATGAATTTAATAAATTATTCTTCGTCATCCGTGAACCAAAGGATTTTCGTGACCAGTAAAGAACTTAAATTAATAACAGATACTCGTGATCACACCACTTCATTTCACTTGATTTTGAGTCGCAAGTCCTCTGGAAGATTTTTATTTATGTAGACTATGACAAGCAAGACTTCTGTAAAATTTTCATAACTTCCCCTTAATGTAAATTATAGGTGTGTGTGTATGTGTGTGCACGTGCCACAGAGGTTCATAAACTCTGACTTTATTTGAGGATAAAGAAAAAACAACAAAAAAATCCTATTCAAGGTCGAAATCTCCCCAAAATGCCAACTTGTAACTTCAAGGAGAAAATGAAAGCTAAGAAATGTATGAATAGGACACAACGATTTCGTTCCTACGCTATTACTCTTGACTGATTATTCGTTTCAGTTTAGCTTGCCATCTAAAATGACACCCTTTTTCTTTTTAAACACCAAGAACCTCTAAAAAACCAGATACACTCTCCCACAGAACATATCTATAAAGCAATGTCCTTTTTAATACGTGCTTTTACAAATTGTAAGAATTAAATTTGGCTCAAAATTTAATTTCGAGAGCCTCTACCTTAGAATTTGACCGCATCATTTTGCTTTTTCACAATCTGTTACGATGCTCCTTGACGAGCACATGGCTGTTTGTATGGAAAATGAAATAGAACGATCGATCCTTTCCACTGGACAGAAACAGCCCGCTGTGCTTTCCAGTATAACATTACAACAACTTTTACTGAGTACACTTAAATTAAATTAACAAAACTAGAAAGAATAAAACAGAGGCCTTCCAAGGGGTAAAAGCGAAGTGCGACACGGCCCTGAAAACTGGCGACATCTGGGCTTTTAAAAAGCGACAAGGGACACGAATACGCTGCTAAAATGCGACAGCGACACAAACAATGAAAAACGACGGTGACATTGGAAGGTTGCGCATTTTACCTATAATAGTTCCAAACAATAATAAATGTACGATTAATGTAGCATTTCTGAGTGCTGAGATTTTCAAAAAGTTTCCCGCGGGAGCCAACCTTCAAAGTCCCCTAGCAGCATTCGGCCTTCGCCGTTTAAAAATGTTTGCCTACTGAGCACCATGGAAGTACTAGTCCTTAGCAAAAGCCATTTCTCGCAAGAAAAGTGACGTGTACAGTTACGTACACTGCAAAAAAAGCAAGCGACATCGCGACACAGCTACCCGAAAAATAACCACCATTGCAATTGGCTAATGAGAAACTGAGCAGCCATCCTTTGTGTTTACATCAGTAATTTTTATAAAGGTCAGGTACATAGGGCTTAAATAACACATACAACACACACAAAGAGAAAAAAAACGAAGTTAACTAAGGTAAAAATTTAGTGAAAATAAACTAGAAGACAAATTAAGTACCAGTATATAAACAGATTAACTAAGATAAGAGAGGAAGTGTAATTTAATGAGGTATAGATAGTTCAGTTAATAGCTTGCAATAATGCTTGATTTGAATTTATTTTTAAATTGTTTGAGAGACAGTAGGTTAACGTTATCAGATATAGCATTCCAGACCTTAGCACCTTGATATCTAACATTAAAGTCATTAAAGGATTAGCAACAGAAAACGCATGCATTGGGAAACCACAAGCTTATTATTGGCCCTGCCCAAGTCCCTTACTTTTGCACTCCTGATCTGTATCCTGAAGATTATAACCTACAGTAACTGCAAATATTTGCACAATTCTACTGATCACAAAATACCATTCAGACCATTTCAGTGGCCAGAGCAACTTGCATTTTATTTCCACTTGTTTCATAACCTTTCATATGATACCATTTCTGAGTATGAGAAGCTAGATTTATTGGCCATTTTAATACCCGATTAAAAATAGAATTTATAAATATCTTGATAAAGATAGACCTTAAATGTAAGTAATACTTACATTTAACTTCAACACAGTCATTCACATGATATATGCAGCTGGGAAACTAGTTCATTCTATGACCTCGATCTTTAGCTGGTTGCCATGCAAGAGTTGAATCTGGGATGACTTATTGTAACCTTATACAAAAAATACACCTCGCTATCAGGTTCCAAACTGTTTGCATAAATTTATTTGTATTTTATAATTATAGTATTTATATTTAGTTTTTTTATGATTTTTGGATTAAAATAACTAGCCCGAATTTTTTTTATAAATACATTAAGATTAAGATGAGCAATTAAAAATTGCAAGGTTTCATTGAACCTCAACATTTCATATTTTTATTCAAAACATTTTCAAATGCAAATATGTATGATATGGGGTCATCGAAATAGCATGTAATTTTACCACTCATCTTTCTCTCAAAGCATTTATATTTTACTTTATAGTTATCATGTTTCTGGCTTATATATTTTTAACCCTATTGTTGTCGTTTCAAACCTGGTCGCAATGTCTACTTTTCATACATGGTTATATGAAGTCATCTCAGATTCAAATCTATTATGGCAACCAGCTGAAGAATCGATTCATAGATGCAACTGGTTTCACAGTAGCATACATAATTGTGTGTTGAAGTCTTCTATCATTTATAGTGGAGCTCCAGCTAAATCTTTATATTACAACTACTATAATACTTCAGGGTGCAAGCAGTCTATCTATTCTTCAAATTATAAAAACTGCTTTTACACTCTATATTTCCTTAACCTTCAGTCCTAACATAAAAATATAAATTCTCCTTACTAAATTTCATTGGTTTCTTTTGCTGCCTGTTTTGAGAATTTGGTAATACATCGCAGTAACCTAGTTGATGATTGTCTTTGTTCGCACCACCTGACTGATAGCCAACAGATTGGCAGTGTAGGGAGAAACCAGTTTTTGATCACTTAACCTTAATTCTCCACTGTATTTCTATTTGTTGTAACTGCAGTTGGATGTGATATTTGTATTTGCTACATTTAGCTAGTGTTGACAAGTTAGGAAACAAGTCAATAAAAGAATGCTTGGCCTTCTTCTAAGGATCGTGTTGGATTGACTATCCAGTGGAATAAAGCCTGCAAAGAATTAAGAAAAAAATGAACTGAAGATTTGAAAGCAAGAGATAGTTAGATTAGAATCTTAATGTAACATTGCAGAGTACAAGCAAAAGTTCTACAGCAAAATTTGAAACACTTTTAGGATGGGTACAAAGAAGTTGAATTTTCCAACTTGCCCTTTGGGCAAGTTGAAGCCAGGAAGTACTACTCAGAGGTCATTTCCAATAGCTTGAAAAATTCTTGGAAGTGTGATGAATTAATAAATTAATTTGTGAAACTTCAATCGGGCAAGTGAAGGATAAAATCCACTAGCCCGATGGCAACATCCACTAGCCCTGGGCTATCGGACACTAACTTCCACATGTATGCTGAAGGTATGGTGTAGCAAGCCTCTTATAATATAGTAAACTTTGACATTTTTTCTTGGTGCCCTTGTTAGTAATCACTTGTATTTTCATGAACACAAAAAAATAATAAATGTGAAAGAAAGGTCTACGAGATGGGAAGACTAAAATCTTTTCTGCGAGTGTAATGTAGAAACACAGAACTACTGTACATACAGCTTTGACTAACCATCTTTCCGAGGTAGGAAAGGAAAGAAAAAAGCACACAAATTGAAATTAAAAAATAACGTGTTTACTGCATTAACCAGCAAGGTGTAATTACGTACTTTAAACCTTTGTATGATGGCTTCAGAGAAGATCTATCTACCCAAGGTTTATTTTATAACTCACCCAGAAGACTGGTGTATGTCTTTTCATGTCACGTTTCCCATTCGTAGTACTTGGTCCAAATGTGTCCACTCAGCATCCAGTATCCCAACCTGGAAGGCCAAAGCAAACACATCAATTAACAACTAATAATGGTCGTAATGGTTGCATGCGAGCTATTTTGCAGTAGCAAAATATTGTTGAACTTGCTTGAGTACATTTTTACAAGTTTTACACTTTTGTGTAAACTTTCAAAGATTCCAGAATCAACATTTTAGCAAAGGCCAATGTGCGGTCCAGAAAATATGCATTACCCCCCCC